TGAGAGAGAGTGACTGGCCCAGTCACCCAGCTGGCTTTCATGCCTAAGGTGGGGCTAGAACTCACAGTCTCCTGCTTTCTAGCCTGGTGCCTTAACCACTAGACCAAACTACCTCTCCAGTTTGAATATTAGACTGAAATATATTCAGAAAAGTTTACAAAGTATAATAATAAAATATTTTGTTTTTAACAATAGCTTTAGGTTTAAAATAATACTAAGTAAACTATCTGATCAACTCCTATATCATATATATTAGAAGAACAAACAGACCTTAGTCCAAATCATTGCCCATTTTTATTTCCAGGGATTTCTCCATGTCATGTTTTCTTTCTATTTCTAAAACTGGCAATAGAACCATATTTTTCTGATTTATATGAAGTGATTTTGTTAAATGCAACACATCAAGGGACAGACCTGTGCCTTAATACATTTGCTAATCTTTGTAGTTTTCAACTGAAATGGCAGCTAATCAAGAAATTTCCATTGCTTAAGGATAGAACAATTAACAAGCTACTGCACAACTGAAAAGGGGAAATTAGTAGCATGAGTAGCTGTTTTTCCAACATTCTTTTTAACAGCCAGTAGATGTCAACATAAATCCACTATATGCCTCAACTCTAACCCAGTTCTTGTCAGGTTTGTTAAAAACATGATGTTATGTTATTGATTTTGAATGCACAGTCAAAATCAATGTATGAGAAATGATTTCATCTTGGAAAATAAGAACATGGCAAATACTAGGTTTTCTGTTTATGTTTTGCATCATGCTATCAGTAAAAAGGTACCAAAATGTATTTATATTCTTTAATTTTACCCTTAGCCTTATTCTTAATCATCTGAACTTCTATGCATGTTTAGCCATACTTAATCCAAATTATCCACAAAATATTTCTTTCCATCTGGATCAAATAATCCACAACTCATTTAGAAGCTAAACAGGTGAGGAAAAAAAAGATAAAGTCTAGTTTCAGTTCAACTATGATGACTCACAGTTTTCTTGGTAACAACATGGAAATGATTTGTCACTACCTTATACTGGATGTTTGTGCGATTTCTAGTCTATAGCCCTTGTATTTCCCGTCAGTCTCCCATGAAAGTACTATCCAGGCCCAGCCTTGCTTAGCTTTTTGAGATCAACTGAGATTTGCCAGCTGCTACCTAGCTGGTCCTTAAGTTAACTATAGTATTCTCAAGAAATTTTCATAGCACAAATTCTAGAATTACTAATCACTAAATCATAGAGGCACGCTGTTACAGGATTAGCTAGAAGCCTTCAAATAATTCTAAATTCTCTCTCCCAATCTTATTAAATATATTAGATTAGTCTTCTTCAGCCAAATGCCCCCCAGACATGTTGAGACTTCAACACCACAAAAATTCCTAGCTCATCTAGAGGAAGGACTTCTATGAGTGGCAAAAACAGAGAGTCAACAGAGCTATGGTACTGTATGTTTTCCAAGCCAACAGCCAGAAGGACTACAGTATCCAGAGAATGTGGACATTTGCAAGTACATTCAGTACATTCCTTGCATCCCCAGGTCATGCTGTTTGGTTGAAATATAGAGTGCTTGTTTGCCTTGCAAGCTCTAAAATAATCTGCTGCTTTGAGATATAATAGAGGATACTGTCCCACCTTTCTGCTGACAATATTTAACTGCCAGTTTGCTTAGATTCTGTAAATGGAACATGGGGGTGAGGAGTGCAATGCTTATGGGCCTACCCAGCCATCTTAATCTAAGATACTGGGGGAAAATAGCATGGGTTTAGTTTTAGGTTAGTTAATTATGCGTTATTTAACTGACATTCCTAGTTTTTAACCAAATAATGTAAATTTTAGGAAAAGATGCAACAATGGTATTGTTTCTCTATATTGCAATCAGCATATATCTATTATTTTATTTATTTTGTAGCATTTATTAACCACCCCACTCTGACCACTTCTGGGCAGCGTAGAAGAGCAAACCAAAAAGCAGAATCTCTCAGTTGAAAACAATACAATAATCAGTCCAACAGATTAAAATAATAATAGAATAAAAACTTCATTTTAACTTTAGGAAGTCCCAATAACAACCAATACAAGTGGATGAAGTAAGGACTACAATGCTGATAAAATCATAAACAGATACTTAAATATCAATCTCCCATAAAATGCTATCAGGAGTCTGGGGCAAAGATTCCTGGTGGGTGGAACCTAAGTCTCAAAGAGCTTAAGATGGTGCCAAAATTAAAGAACTGAGATTGCTTTGCAAAAATACAGTAAGCTTGATATACAAAAGTTACTAGAAACAATAAAATAGAAACGGTCAAAATTTCAAGAGCCAATAAAGCAAGCCAATCCACACCTTACAAGAAATCTTGTTTATGGGCTTTTTTCCCCTTGCAGTTTGTTTGTTGGTTTACACTGTGAGCCACCTGGAATCAACTGGAGTCAAGTAGCAGTTAATTCTAATAAATAAATTTTTTAAAAATCATCAACCTGATCACAGGTCCTTGTCTAAAAACTTTAACTCTCCCTTAGAGACATGAGATTTTCCCAGCTTGCTTTACCTGCTTGCTGTTTTGGGATAACCCCTAACTCTAAGAGATTGCAAACTTCAGTTGGAGTTTTAGGAGCAGTTTATTTCAGCTGCTGTGACTTAATGGAGCTTCAAAGGTTCCAGTTTGGAGCTCCCTCCATCACCTCCCTTCTCCAGAGAAGTCAGCTTAACTCTGTTTAGCAGGGCTCCTGATGGTCTGCTTTTCTATAAGTCTGCAGAACTGCCCTCTGCTTCTCCAGGCTCTAGTAAGCACTTCCCCTGAGGAGATCAGCTGTGCCTGGAGTTCTTTTGGTCCCTCATCCTGAAACCACCCTATCCTCTTCCAGGGAACCATTCTGCTTCACTCTGATCTCTCTCAGGTTTCTTAATCCCTCTCTTGCATTTCAAAAGGAAGCTTTTTAAGCAAAAAAAACAACAACACTTCCTTGAGGCTAGGATTCTAAAATAACTTAACATTTGCTTTCCTCTAGAAAAAGAGAGGAGCTTTGCATTACTTCCCTTGTCTCCATGTTGATCAGGTACATTTTACCAACAAGGTGGGGTGGGGAGACAGGGAAACTATTTCTCCTTCTGTGCCTGCCTTTGAGGTGTTTGCCTGGGTGAAAGTGGGCAGAAGGACTTGCTAGCCTTACCTAGTGAATGCAGCGGTGCCCATTCACCAGAAGGATTATGTCAGTGTTGTCCAAACAGCATGGCTGGCTGGGGAATTCTGGGAGTTGAAGTCCACTCATCTTAAAGTTTGGACAACATTGGATTATGTAGTTAATTTGAGAGTAACA